ACTGACAATCTAGTCTAGCGTATGGTGAGGTTCTCAGTTGGCGCATAGCAACCGCACTGACATAGGTTGCTTAGCCTTACGTTGCCCTTCCAAGGAATTTCAGGAAGGCGCCGTGTAACATTACTCATGACCAATTTTTCAGAGGCTTCTATTTGGAAAAAGGGGTCCACAGATCAATCATCTGAGCTTTGCAGATGACATCATTATCTTCACCTCAGAAGGTAGAGCATCATTGCAAAAAATCATGGAAGTCCTCAGTACATATAAGGACATTTCTGGGCAGCAAATCAACAGAAACAAAAGTCACTTCATGGCTTCTCATTGTGCCTTTCCTGCAACCATCAGAAGAATTCAACAGGTTACAGGTTTTACCAAAAAAAAACTCCCCCATCACTTACATGGGATGCCCCTTATTCATAGGAAGGATGAGAATAATCTACTTCAACACCATGGTATCCAAAGTAGTGAGCAGGATTAGAGGATGGCAAAGCATAATTCTTTCATATGGAGGGTAGAGCAACCTTGATTAAATATGTGCTACAGTCTCTCCCTACTCATCTCCTCTCAGCATTATCCCCTCCCAAAACAGTGCTAAACAGATTGAAAAGGTTGCTACAACCCTTTTCTGGGGTATGGACAAAGACAAGAAAAAGTACCACTGGGCTTCTTGGCATAAACTCTCTTTACACTCACTGAAGGAGGAATTGGCTTTAGATCTATAGAAGACATATGCAGAACCATGGAGTTCAAACAATGGTGGCTCTTTAGAACTAAACAGTCTTTGTGGGAAAGTTTCCTTAGAGCAAAGTAATGTCAAAGATCAAATCCTATTGCCAAAAAGTGGCACTCAGGGCAGTCACAAGCATGGAAGAAAATGATGTTCAACAAAAAAGAAGCTGAGAAGCACATACAATGTAGATTACATTCTGGTAACTGCAGCTTCTGGTGGGATAACTGGTTGGGAACAAGTGCCTTGGATCAACACATAACAGAAGGAGGATGACCAGGAAACATCAATGTATCCCAATTCTGGGAATCTGGGCACTGAAATTTGCAGAAGCTGAATGATACTGCACCAGTCCATAAAATTGCCTCCATCCTTCACACCCCAATTTACCATGATCCAAATACCCTTGACCAGGCTATCTGGGTTCCTAATGACAATGGAAACTTCACCTGCTCATCAGCTTTAGAAGTAATCAGAAAGAAGAGGCCCATCAATTTTACTAACAAAATGACTTGGCACAAAAGGATACCCTTCAAATGGTCCTTTTGCTTATGGAGAGCCCGTAGAAATAAATTACCAACAAATGATACGGTTCTCCTATTTAGCAACCCTATTGTTTCCAGACGTGTGTGTTGTCAAAGGTATGGTGCTGAGACTGTGAAGCACATATTCAACACAGGGCATTTTGCAGCAATAGTGTGGAGAAAATTTGGAGGAGCAGTTGGTATCCAAACAGCAGGACTACGTCATAGACTACTCCTAATAAAATGGTGGCTGCTTAAAAGACAAAATGAAGTCCAGAAACTCTTGCTAGACACTGTCCCTATTATCATCAGCTGGAACCTATGGAAAAATAGATGCAGTGCAAAATATGGTACCAAACAGTCCTCCTTGACTAGAGTCTTGTTTGCCATCAATTATGATATCCATCTTCTTCTCAAAACTAACTACCCCTCTATTAAATGGCCACTGCAATGGATTGACCTGTACCAAGCCATTGAAGATATATCCCATTACACTAATGTTCAGCAAGTTACCTGGAGGAAACCAGCACAAGAATTTGTTAAAATCAATAGTGATGGCACTGCAGTTACAAACCCAGGGAATATAGGTACTGGGTCCATCATCAGGGATCACATGGGTACATTTATCCATGCCTTAGCAGGCCCATTGGGTGAAGGTACCAACAATCAAGCAGAGATAGAAGGAGCAATTATTGGGATCACATGGTGCTTGGACAATGGTTGCACCAAAGTGCACCTTGAAGCAGACTCAGCTTTACTCATTCACTGGCTCACTAGTGAGACTACACCACCATGGGCACTGAAAATGCTGCTACTGAAACTGAAGCAGTTATGTGATCAATGTGCAGCAATCAATTTCTCTCATGTCTACAGAGAAGCTAACTGTCCAGCAGACTCATTGTCAAAGCTCATCCATAGTCTCATAACACTCACCAACTTCCATTCTCTACACTCACTGCCCAGTCAGATCAGAGGTCAAATCCAATAGGATTTCCTTGAAACACCAGCATTCAAACATAAGAAAACCAATAAAATCATCATCCCACCACACCTAGCCTCTCCTGCTACTTCTCATGGGTATGGATGACAGTCATGCAACAATGGGAGCAGACCTAATTGTCCAAGATTGAATGAGCTACAACAATAAAGAAACCAGTAGCAGCAACAACTGCACCAAATGTTGCAGCAACAACAGCCTCAACAACACACAAGCATTGTATGTGCCCAACAAGTTTTCACTAATCAGTTTGTTATTTTTTACATGTACATGGTTCCATCTTAGTATATTGGTATGTATTCAAGGTGTGGTATTAGCACTTCATGTGCTCAATCTGTTGAATAAATATCAATATACATGGGACACCCAGGATCAATCCTTTCTATATTTAAGGCACCTTAATGGCAGATTGGCTTCCTGTAGCTCCTGCTGCCCACTCTCTTCTATCAACAAATCCTTTTGGCCATTGCACTCTTTGCCTTTGGGCAGTATTATAGATGACATACGACTACAATCCAGAAGCAGCAGGTTTTTTGAATTTTGGAGTTGCTTGGACAGTTTTTTGCACACCTTTTGACATCTGTTTGGGCTACCTTCACAATGGCTTCCACCCATGTTCAAGCCAATACGAAGATAACTGTGATGTATCGTTCACTCTATCCCCTATGCTGGTTTTGCCTTTCCACATAGGGAGAACTATTTTTCATTTGTACCATAGGAGCAAATGTATATGGGAGAAGATCCCCAATTCTACTCTCATAGTTGACCTAACTTCACTTGGTCTTTGTACATCATTAGGCTACCAATTTTGGTTAGCAAAATCGTACACCCTCATTTAGGTCTAACTTCACATACTTGTAAGGTATCAAATGGCTATAGATTTAGTAGTCATCAAGTATCATCCATTTATCTGGAGGTAAGGTTTATGTCCCCCTCATTTTTGTACTTTAGCTTTATATATATGAAAATCAGCCCTAGGCACAATGCCTAGTGGACCTTTATTTTAAAAAAAAACTTCTTTGATTAGTTTCACAAGCTTCTCATCCAATTTTTGTGCTTCTTTTATCTGTTCAAGTAGAACTGGCTTGACTTTCAAACTAGCAATAATAGAGCCATCAGCTTTAAATGTAAGACAAGCATTCATGGCTCTCAATTCAAGAAACAAAGGCAAAGGACTTAGAGATAAATCGGCAAAGTATTTACGACTTAGAGCATCTGCAATAGCATTGGCTTTATCCGGATGATAGTCAATTGTGCAGTCATAATCTTTGATAAGATCAAGCCATCTACGCTGTCTCAAATTCAACTCTTTCTGTGTACCAGAGTACTTCAAACTCTTATGATCTGTGAATATATAACATTTTTCTCCATACAAGTAATATCTCCAAATTTTCAAAGCAAACACTATGGCAGCAAGATCAAGGTCATGAGTAGGATAGTTCAACTCATGTGGTTTCAATTTGCGAGAGGCATACGCAACCACTTTCCCTTCTTGCATCAAAACACAACCCAAACCATGATGAGAAGAATCACTATATATCACATACTCTTTCCCTTCAGTTGGTAGAGTAAGTATAAGAGCTTTAGTCAATAAAGATTTGAGCTTTTCAAAGCTCTCTTGGCATTTATCATCCCACACGAACTTGACGTCCTTCCTCAAAAGTTTAGTCAAAGGAGAGGCTATAATGGAGAAGTCTTTGAAAAACCTTCTATAGTATCCCTCTAAGCCCAAGAAACTTCTTATTTCAGTTGGACTTTTGGGCAGTTTCCATTCAACAATAGCTTGAATCTTACTAGGATCAACTTTCACACCTTTAGCTGACACAACATGCCCCAGAAAAGCCACTCCACTAAGCCAAAATTCACATTTGGAAAGCTTGGCATAGAGTTTTTTCTCCTCCAACTTTTGCAAAACAATCCGGAGATGTTTATCATGATCTTCGCTATTCTTGGAATATATTAAAATGTCATCAATAAATACCACCACAAATTGATCAAGATAAGGCTTGATAACACGATTCATTAGATCCATGAACACTACAGGAGCATTTGTCAACCCAAATGGCATCACCAAAAATTCATAATGACTATACCGAGTCCTAAAAGCATTTTTAGGAACATCTTGCTCACTTACTTGCACTTGGTAATACCCAGACCTCAAGTCAATTTTTGAGAAAATCCGAGCACACGGTCAAATAAATCATCAATCCTAGGCAATGAATATCTATTCTTAATTGTGACCTTATTCAATTGCCGATAATCAATACAAAGCCGAAGAGAGCCATCTTTCTTTTTCACAAATAAAACATGAGCTCCCCAAGGAGAAACACTTAAGAAGTTCTTGCAATTGAATTTTCAACTCCTTCAATTCTGTAGGAGCCATTCGGTAAGGAGTTATAGAAATAGGAGTAGTTCCAGGAATAACCTCTATAGGAAATTCAACTTCCCTTTTCGGGGGCAACCCAGGAAGATTTTCAGGGAAAACATCAGGAAATTCACATACGACTGGTATATCATTAAGGCTTGAACTTTCTAGGTATGTATCAACTATATGAGCAAGATAAGCTTCACAACCCTGACTAATCATCTTTCTTGCCACAACTGCAGAGATAATATTAGATGTCAATGATCTTTCACCTTGAATAACGATGTGTGAAAATGTATGAGCTTTAAAGGTCACACGCTTTGACCTATAATCAAATACTGCATGGTATCTATGAAGCCAGTCCATACCGATGATGACATCATAGTCTTAGAAAGGCATTTCAATCAGATCAGCAGGGAAGACTAGATTTTGAATCTCGAAGGGACAACCTCGATACATCTGATTACAAACAATCTGATGGCCCAAAGGACTTCTAACAAGCACACCAAAATCAAGTCTCACAGATTTCACATTTTCAAGAAAAACAAGTGATGAGCAAACATAGGAATGTGTAGAACCAAGATCAAATAGTGTAACAACATATAATCCAAATAAGTGAAATTTACCAACAACCACTCCTGCCCCATATTGGTCATCCCTCTGTCTCATAGCATAAGCTCGTGTTGTAGCTCTTGACCCAATAGCTTGATTAGCTCCACCTTCACCTGTGGTTTGGGTGTTTCTAGATCTTGCACCTCTATTCCCTTGAGAAGGAGCGAGAGTAGGTTTCTGAACTGAACCTTCAGTACGTGGAGAATAAAGAAGGTTAGGATTAGGACAATCCTTCACTTTGTGATCGAAGCTCCCACAGTTAAAACAAGCACAAGAAGCTTTCCTGCAAGTACCAAAGTGATTCTTTCTACACTCTGCACAGGTGGGTATACGATTCTTGCGTTGTCCATAGCTTGGAGTGCTAGCAGTAGAAAATTTTGATCTATTTTGCTTATGCTGAGCTGACTTGTGAACACCACCAGTCTTGGAATTGTCAAACTTCCCCCTTTTGGAGGGACCGCCATAATCTGAATTAGCTTTTCTGAACCTGTTTTCATTTCTACTAGCTTGTTCCTTGTCAATTCTTTCCCAAGTAAGAGCAGCTATAACTAGTTTAGAAACAATTTCATGTTGCGGGACTGCCACAAAGTTTCGGATAGAATCATTCAAACCATCTTTGAATCGCCTGCACATATATTTTTCATCATCGATAATACCTCAAGCATAATGAGAAAGCCTGAGAAACTTTTATTGATATTCATCAATAGACATACCCCTTTGCTTTAAATCCAGAAACTCCTTTTTCTTTGTATCACGATAAGCAGGTGGGACATACTTCATGCGGAATTCTTTGACAAAATCATCCCAAGTAAGTACCAGAGGTTTTGCTTTGGCATTTGGTACACTTACCCACCAGTCATAAGCATCCCTTTGTAACAGTGAGATGGCATACTTAAATTTGGCAACTTTCGAACATTCTAATTTCTCAAATACTCTCTCTATGCGCTCAAGCCATTATTCAACATCAGTAGGATCAACAGTGCCTTCAGACTCAACTCCACCCATTTTTTCTCATTTTCTCAAAGTTCATTTCATTATGGTCGGACATTGTTCTAGCCAAGTGATGAAAGAAATAAACCATTTGGTGAAAATGAGGATAAAAAACATGAGCACTATGACTCATATGAGAATGTGGCCCAACTCTTGCATCCTGATTATTTTCCACTTCAGATCCTCTAGTACGAGGAAAATTAAGGTAAAAAAAATGTTCTCCAACCCCTTCCTGTAAGTGAGGTTGGGTCTAAGAGTTATCTGAACCCTCATGAGATGCTTCCATAGGTCTATTAAAAGAAGAGGCCATAACTTAATTCCGACATAATGGAGATCACATTGCATTAGGGACATGTACATGGTGCATATGCACAACACACGTAATAAAACTTTATAAAAAGAAACAAGTACACTAACAAGTCATAACAATAGTCCTAGAATCACAAACCTAAAGCTCTGATATCAAAACTTGTAGCGACCCCTTTGGGAGGGTGCTACTTATGAAACAAATCTAACTTACTACTTACAACATTTAGAAGATATTAATCTAAAAAGACATTCATAATAATTTAGTACCGGAAATAGGCCCATGAAATAAAGGTTTCAAGGTGCAATATTTTTGTTTTTAAAAATACACTTCGTAAAATTTCTTAAATGAAATACAATGTCAAAATATCAAGATAAAGCGATACAACCCTTCTCGAATAATCAACACGTTTAAAGCAACTTTCTAACAAAATTACACTTTTCGTTCAACATCACTTCATGTTGATTGTACATGAATTTCAAATTAGCGAGTATAATAGGAAAACTAGTCTTCTACTTTGTACATTTTTACAAGAAAAAAAGTGTAAATTTATTATATTACAAGATTTGAGCTATTAACACACCCTAAAACAGCAAAACAAGTCACCAAATTATATGTTACAAGGTTTTGGTCTTGAGATCCAACAAGCCTCCAAAATAACATACATAAGTGTGACATAAAGATCATGTACAAGTCCTAAAACTATATAAAACCTAGGTGCATATACAAATGTGATCTCCATAAATTCTCCCAAAAAGACTACTTCATAAGGCCGTCTTCAAATCTCGTCCCGTACATTACCTACGATAGAAAATAACTATCGCTAAGCATAAAGCTTAGTGGCATATAGACTTTGGGCTTGGAGCCATTAAATTCTCCAATTTCCCTTTTCATACATAGGTAGCTCAGATGAAACATAAATTTAAAACAAGTGAACAAATATATAGTAAAAGTATAGAATATCAAACCTTGAGGTGTTTCCATCTATCAATAACAATGTTCAAGATTCAAGTATCAAGAAATCGTATACTATCAATCCAAGAGAGTTTGCCAAATATCTATTTTTTGCCCAATATGTATGCCATGCCATTACACTAAGTAATAGGAGATATCAAGATAGACCGAAGCCCCAACTCAAGTAGGGTCAAAACCCAATAGTCAAGAGAATCAAGAACCATATAAAAAATGGCTTCCTAGTTCATACTTAACATGGACAAGTTCCATAATTTAAGACGAACTACAAATTCAAAGTCAAGATAGAAAAATATCCGAATCAAGAGGCATGCCAGGATGAGCGACAAAGTCACTGCCATAAGAAGGACAAAGTCCCAACAAGAATGCAAAATGATCAAGCAATCCGTACAAGTGGGCGAGTTAACAAATATCTTACAATACATGATTAACACGAATACAACGATATTAATTGAAGACAAGAGAAAGAAAAGATCAAGTTACTTCAAAACATTCCAGCAAGTAAAAATAGTACAACTTCAAGTTTATACACAAACCTTGGTATTTTATACAAAACAGTTCAACCACAACTTGAGGACGTTCGAATCGTCTACGCCATAGACCAGCCAAATCCGTCCACTTTCTCAAACACTTCCCCTTAGATTTTACAAGGGTATATATACCTTAAATACATAATCAAATATCTATATAAGTTCAGTGATTTAACATGTCAAACTAAACATGATATTGGTGAAAATCACCCTAAACTTTTGAAACAGAAATTCTGGACAGTACCACTGTCTTGTGTTGTGGCTCAGTTTTGAAGATTTAATTGGACAAACTAGATTGTATAGTCTTCATTAAAGTCGTAGAAATATGTCTTAGGGACTCAGGAATTCTTGAATCACCCCAATATCAGTTTCGTACAAAAAGGTATGCTAAAACTACTAACAGTAGTACAGGGAGAGTTTGTAAAACAAAAAATCTGGGCAGCACTTGTCCTATACTTTATGATCCCTTTTCGGGTAAATACAAGAAAAACTAGGTTTTTTTGCCTGAATAATAGTTACAGAGATATAAAATATCTTTTCAGAAAAGCTTGGATCACTTAACACAACCTAAAGTAAGCAATTTTCATATATTGTCAAATTTATGTTTAGGAAGTGTGAAGTAAAATCTATCCTCATTATAAAGATGCTCAATCGAGAATGCAAATATTAGTTAAAACCTTGGGGTGTTACAAGACATACCTGGATCTGCACAAAAAGATGTGCAAAAACATAGTATGAGTACACCACAATGGTACCCAGTAAGTATCAAGTCTAACCTCGGTAAAGTAGTAATGATGCCAAGTCAATACACCTACTAGGATATAAATAAACAGTATGAAAACATAATAAGGATAAATAATGGAAGGCAGAGAAATAAATGATATGAAATAAGTTAATAGCATGAACTAATACTGGAATTTTAAGCATGGAAATAACATAAATAAATCAATTAAAGGAACCACAATGATCATATACGGACAATAACTGATAGAATAAGGAAGAACAAACAACAAGAAGTGTTGCCACCAAAACTCTTTGCAACATGAGGTAAACAACAAGAATCACAACGAGATACCGCCTCATGTATATAGCAAGAATCACAACCGAGGTACCGCCTCGTATTCACAATTCACAATCTCAATCACAATCTTTCCTTATACTGCCGCATGAGTCTTACATTTAAATAGTTTTGAAAACATTTTTGCCCGAAATAGCTACACGCACTTTAGCCCACCTTATGATGCCGTGTGGCTTCATGTAGTTCCCTTACAAGCAACACGTACATAAGTCCCAACTTATGCCGCCACATGCACATTAACCCCTAGCTTTATACCGCCGTATGTGCGACAATATCACATCACAATAACAACTCGCACCACAAGTGCCCATATGCCATAACGTGCCAACAACCAACAATCAACAATATCAATGTTTCTGTCATGCCCCAACCTAGGGAGGCGTGGCTGGCACCCGGTGCCGTACTAGCCCGAGCGAACCACTCTGTAACTCATTTGTTTTTTTCTTCTATAACTATCAAGGGCCAATATGGCCACAACTCATAATGTATAACTATAAGTGGGCAACACTGTATCACTGAACCATTTTTCTTAAAACATGAATACATATAGGCTATCAAGGCCTCTGACATACTGTACAAAATGAACCTCTGTCTACAAAGCCTCTAAGATTATTTGACATAAAATGGGACAGGGTACCGGCCTACCCATAAGTCTTTAGCAAAATTCTGACATGATGACTCATAGACTCGGCTGCACTCCGAATGAGGTAGAGTCTTACCAATTCTTTGTTGAATGCCAATATCGTCTACTATGAGGGCTCGTCAAACTGATTATCTATACCTGCAGGCATGAATGCAGCATCCCCAACAAAAGGACGTCAGTACGAATAATGTACTGAGTATGTAAGGCAGAACTGAAACATAACAATAAGTCCACATTACTTTAAAGACATATAAGAATCAACCTGAATCTCTTAATTGCCACTGTATATGCATACTTATTATACTTATATATATAATGCTTCTCTTTGAGACTATTATCCATATCGTATGATGCATGACTGCCCAACTGATCAGTGGTAACTGCCCGACCGACCGTAGCTCGGTGGTAAATGAATAACTGCCCGACCGGCCGTAGCTCGGTTGTAGATGTATAACTGCCCAACCGGCCGTAGCACGGTGGTAAATGCATAACTGCCTTGACCGGCCGTAGCTCGGTGGTAAATGAATATTCATGTCTGCCCAACCGGCGGTAAATAATGGTACATAACTGCCCAACCGGTAGTAAATAATGGTACATAACTGCCTAACCGGTGGTAACTGCCTAACTGACCGTAGCGCGATGGTAAATGCATGATTGCCCGACCGACCGTAGCTCGGTGGTAAATGCATGAAGATGCGTGTATTACTATATTATTAACATTAACATCTTTATCATATACCTCAATAAGGAACTAGATACATACTTGAATATAACTTTACCGGCATGAATAACATAGATGTCCTTAACTGCTAAGAGTAGAACCACTTATGGAATAACATTACGTTTACGTATCGTTACATGGATCATGCCAAAAGAAAGAAGGATTAGCCTTAACATACCTCAATTCACTCTTTTGATGACTACGACTAGTAAATCCTTTTCATAAACATCTAACCCCGAATGCTTGGGATTAGGCTCAATTGATTGAATTACTGATAGCTGTATCCTCAAAGTAATGCCTAAATATTTCGTCCACCCCATAATCTAAACAAAAACTGTTTGGAAAATGCAAACCTTACACGCACATCTGCCACCCATACCCTGGTCCACATAACATACTTCTGAATGGATTATGAGAGAGATTCATTTCACCAGGATGTGCACAATTGTATATGATGCCTTCTAGGCTACTAAACTTTTAGAGGCTGAAAGATAGACTAGTTAAGCTCTTAAAACAGTGATGTAGCCAGATTTGAATTTATCCAATTCCTTAGAAATATTTTGAATGGTAAGGATGCAAAAGCTAAAGTTGGAGATGGTAGCTTAAGTCGGCACAATTATAAGTTCATAACTAAAGTAATTCTTACATCAAACTTCTCCCAGACATCAAAGTCCCTTTTTGATCGTGCCACCTATTTAATAGATGCATGAGTCACAAATTTTGCTAAGGAAAAATCTGCCACGTGATGTTCTTATCCAAAATATTTTAGATAATTACTAATTGCTCGCATAATTAAGAATGGTCTCAAATTATTTAAAATACTACTCACTTTTAACCCACTTTATACATTACACTATTATTTTATTAAAACATCCATGTAAAAATACATATATTTTCTCAACTTATAATTTTCCTAATCTCATATAAAGAGTAAAAATTCTCGTATGCTTAATTCTTAAAATGGTAGAAAGATAACCTTCTTTTCTTGTGAGAAAAATAATTTCTATATTTACAATAAAGAAAATCTCATAAACTTTCTCATATTATGTGTATAATTTAAAGCGTATTCGAAAGTAGTAATTTCAATAACTATATAAAATCATATTTTTTTCAAACCTTTTTTTTTTACAAAAATGTTCCACTCAAAATACCATATCCAATCTATATAACGGTATCCATGTTGTTAAACTCACGAGGTCTTATAATAACATAGTCACAAATCCTCTATAATCTCATGAATAGTCTTAATCCCTTCAAGCACATTTGGAATACTACGACTTATCCTAATATTAAAGTACAGGATGTAACATTTTCCACAACAATAGCCCATGGCTCCACCACAACGTGTACAAGATTATCAACAACAATAATGAATGTAAAATTCTCAACAAGGAAGATATCTCAACAATTAACAACTTCATCTCAATGTGATACGGCTTTCACAACTTCAATACCAATAACTCAACAATGAGAAAGATAATATATAACCACGAAACTAAATACAAATAACTCACAATGGAAGAGATAACATGACTTCAAATAAGTATAATAGCAATGAAAGAGATAACTTGTAACAATGACTTCAAATCATGAAAATCAACAATAAGAGATGACATGTACAATGACTTCAAACAATGATAACCAACAATGAAAGAGATAACATGTAACGATAAGAGAGGCAACAAGTTCAACTAAAGCATAAGAGCAAAATATCAAGTAAGATGTGAACAAGTAATAAAAGAGTCAATTAAGGCATGTGAAGATAGACTAACACAAGTAAGAGTAGATTAACTATGAAAATTTAGAACATGATATGAAAATTCAATTAAAGCATAAATAGAGTCTAAGTAGCCTAAACCGGTCAAAAATCACATATAACACGTGTACCCACTCGTCACCTTGCGTACATGGCTTTCACATAGTACAAACGACACAATCAATCCCAAATCCCAAGGGGTAGTTTCCCTCCCACAAATTTAGGCTAGATACTTACCTCAACTAGGCCAATTCAACTCTCGGAAATAGCTTTTCCCCTACAATTCACCTCCACATGGCTCAAATCTAACCAAAATTGACTTAATATTATCATACAATGTAAGGGAAATCAATTACAATAGATAAAGCTATGATCTTTACACTTTTTCCAAAATGTCAACAAAAGTCAACCCGCGACTCACCAAGTCAAAACCCAGGTCCAATGGTACATTCTGACTACCCATGACCCTACGAGTTCATATATGTGATTAGTTTCAAAATCTGAGTCCAAGTCGACTCTCAAAACTCAAATTCTTACTTTCCAAAAACTTGACAAATTTTCACTTTGATTCAAATGATTTTGATTTTAAAATCTAAGATGTATTGATGGAATATGATTGAAAACAAATTAGAATCACTTACCCAAAGTTTGTAAATGAAAATCCCCTCTCCAAATTGCCTCCAACCAAGTCTAGGGGTTCTAAAATGGGAAAATATGAGATGAAATCCCGACTTCCAGCCCTTATGTTCAGCTGCAGTTATCGCAATTGCGATATGGGTTAGCAATTGCGAACCTTCACAATTGCAAAGAAAATATCGCAATTACGGCACTGATACATCTTAGTGGCACCCGGGTGAATGGAGTACCGTGAACTGTGGCACTCCTCAAGAATCAACTTACGCAACCCATCCACATTGGGCACACATAATCGGCCCTGCATCCGCAACACACCGTCATCTCCGATAGAAACCTCCTTGGCATCGCTGTGATGAACTATGTCCTTGAGGACAAGCAAGTGGGGGTTGTCATACTAACGCTCTCTGATGCGGTCATATAGAGAACACTGAGAAACACGCAAGCAAGAACTAGACTGGGCTTCAAATATCCAATCTAACAAACTGGTTGGCTAAGGCCTGAACATCCAATGCTAATGGCCTCTCCACTGCTGGTAGATATGCTAAACTGCCCAAACTCTCTGCGTTTTGACTCAAGGCATCGTCCACCATATTGCCTTCCCCAAAATGATATAGAATAGTGATATCATAGTCCTTAAGCAACTCTAACCACCTCTGCTGCCGCAAGTTAAGATCTTTCTGTTTAAACAGATGTTGTAGACTCCGGTGGTCGATAAAGACCTCACAAGGGACACCATACAAATAGTTTCGCCAAATCTTCAAGGCATGAATAATAGCTGCCAATTCCAAGTTGTGGACCGGATAATTCTTCTCATGGACCTTCAGCTGCCGAGACACATAGGCAATCACCCTACCATCTTGCATCAACACCGTACCAAGGACAATACATGATATATCATAATATACAGTGTAAGACCCCTAGCCCATAGGCAACCCCAACACTAGGGTTGTAGTCAAAGCAGTCTTGAGGTTTTGAAAGCTTGCCTCACTCCTCGAACAATCTGAATGGAGCACCCTTTTGGGTCAATCTGGTCATAGGTGCAACAATAAATGATAAACCCTTTACGAAACGGCGAGATTTTGGGTCATGACAAGTTGATATCAGAACTTTAGGTTCATATGTTCTACCAGTCACAACCAGGTTTACTCGAGTCTAATGGATCGGTACAAAGACGTCTGTACTTATCTTCGAGTGGCTACGAAACTATTAGGAAATTTCACTTCTTTCATTCCTTATCGTGTGGATTTGTTGATTTCAAAATCTAAGCCTCTATTTTTCTATTCTCTCACAAATGGTGAGGACACGTACTACTGGATTAGCTAAGCAGACACATGCGCCCCCTGCTAGAGCCGCGAGAGGTCGGAGCTGAGGTAGAGGCCGAGAAGGGGCATGTGCCATAACTAGAGCACCTGCCAGGGCAGCGACTGAGGAGCCACCATTAGCTCTAATTGGGGGACAGACACCCGATGTGCTTGTTGCTACCCTTGGGCTCCAGGAGACCTTAGCACATTTTCTAAGCATGTTCGGTATTTTAGCTTAGGCGGGATTGATCCCAGCTGCACCAGCTACTTCTTAGGCTTGGGGAGGAGCTCAAACTCCCGCCTCCCATACTCCAGAGCAGCGGTTCCATGTTGATCATGTTCTAGATGTTATGCCAGCACAACCCATTATCGCGGTTAAACCTGAGGTCAGGCCAGTGGCATCTAAGGAGGAGTAGAGGAGGTTGGAGAGGTTCAAGAAGTATGATCCTCTTACTTTCAGTGGCGTATTATTCGAGGATGCACATGGTTTTCTAGACCAGTGCCACCGTATTCTCAGCACCATGGGCATTATGTAGGTGCGCGGTGTCGCATTATGAGGAGAGGCCAGTTAGTACAGCTCCACTCGCTTGGGCTCAGATTTCTGATTTATTTTTGAGGGAGTTTGTCCCACAGACCCACGGGGATGTGTGGCACACAGAGTTTGAGCAGTTGCGTGAGGGGACTATGATGGTGTCAGAATATGCCATGAGGTTTAGTGAGTTATCCTGCCATGCACCTGCTTTTGTTTCTACAGTTAGAGAGCGAGTTTGTAGATTTATCGAGGGGCTTATTTATAGTATTAGATTTAGTATGGAACAGGACATAGAGATTGATACTCCATTCCAGAAGGTTGTGAGATTGCTAAGAGGTTAGAGTATATTCGTGGTCAGGAGAGAGAGGATAAGGAGGCCAAGAGGCCTCATGGTTCTGGAGGATTTGAGGGCTCCTACTCTAGGGGGAAGATCCGTCGTGGTAGAGGTTTTATCAGTCGACCAGTTTTGTCTGCACTTCAGGCCACTCGTAGTGCCCCAACTAATCAGGACCTCAGAGTACTCATTTTGCATAGCCATCATCCACTGCACCTCTTGCACGGGGTGCTTACAGAAGTTATTCTAGCCATCTGGGTCAGGCTCAGTAGAGAGGTACATTGGATTATGTTCCTAGTAGGGTGGTGTCCTTTCTAAAGGCACAACGGATGGTTTAGAAAAGGGTGTTTAGCATATCTAGCCTTTGTGAGGGATGTCAGTGCTGATACTTCTAGCGTTGAGTCAGTTCCGGTAGTGAGAGATTTCCTAGATATATTTCCAGCAAACCTAATGGGCATGCGGCCCGATAGGGATATCAATTTTGGTATTGACCCGGTGCCAGTCACTCAATCCATTTCTTACCATATCATATAACACTAGTGGAGTTAAAGAATTTAAAGGAACGACATCAGGAGTTCCTTGTAAGGGTTTCACCCGACCAAGTGTCTCGCCTTGGGGCGCTCCAGTTCTATTTATGAAGAATATAGACGGCTCCATGAGGATGTGTATTGATTATAGGCATCTGAACAAGTACCCACTACTGCATATAGATGATTTGTTTGATCAGCTCCAGGGTGCTCGGGTATTCTCGAAGATTGATTTGAGATTTGTATACCATCATTTGAAGATTCAGGATTCAGATATTCCGAATACGACTTTCAGGACCCGCTATGGTCATTATGAGTTTTTGATGATATCATTTGGCTGACCTATACCCCAACAACCTTTATGCACTTGATAAACAGTGTATTCCAACTGTATATTGATTCATTCGTCATTATGTTCATTGACGATATATTGGTGTATTCTTGCAGCCGAGATGATCATGAGCAGTATCTGAGGATCGTGCTCCAAACCTTGAGGGAGAAACAACTATATACTAAATTCTCCAAGCTTGATTCAGTGGTAGTTTTGGTCCATGTGGTGTCTAGTGAGGGGATTAAGGTGGATATGAAGAAGGTGGAGGCAATTCAGAGTTGGCCCAGACCGTCTTCTACTACTGAGATCTGGAGTTTTCTATGCTTGGTCGGGTATTATCACCATTCTGTGGAAGTGTTTTCATCCATCGCAGCTCCTTTGACAAGATTGACTCAGAAGGGTGCCCCATTCAGGTGGTCTACGAGTGTGAGGATAGCTTTCAGAAGCTCAGGACTGCCTTGACCATAGCTCCAGTTCTGGTTTTATCTTCAACATCGGGTTCTTATACAATTTATTGTGATGATTCATGGATTGACATTGGATGTGTGTTGATGCGGGAGAGTAGGGTTATTGCCTATGCTTCGTGTCAGTTGGCGCATGAGAAGAACTACCTTGTACATGATTTGGAGTTGGCATCCATTGTTCATGCGTTGAAGATTTGGAGGCATTATCTTTACGGCATGTCTTGTGAGGTGTTAACATATCAGAAGAGTCTCTAGCACTTATTCAAGTAAAATGATCTGAACTTGAGGCAACGGAGGTGGTTAGAGCTACTAAAGGACTATGATATTACCATTCTTTATTACCCGGGGAAGGCCAATGTGATGGCCGATACTTTGAGTAGGAAGGCTGAGGGCATGGGGAGTCTTGCTTATATTCCGGTTTGGGAGAGACTGTTAGCATTGGATGTTCAAGCTTTGGCCAATCGATTTGTGAGGTTGGATATTTTGGAGCCTAGCCGGGTTCATACTTGCGTGGTTTTACGGTTTTCTTTATTTGAGCGCATCAAGGAACGTTATTATGATGATCCCCACTTGCTTGTACTGAAGGACACAGTGCAGCACAGTGATGCTAAGGAAGTTACTATTGGTGATGATGGGGTATTGAGGATGCAGGGTCGGATCTGTGTTCCAAATGTGGATGGGTTGCGAGAGTTGATACTTGAGGAGGCCCATAGTTCATAGTATTCCATTCATCCAGGTGCCGCAAAGATGTATCAGGATTTGAGGCAGCACTATTAGTGGCGGAGGAAGAAGAAAGACATTTTTGAGAATGTGGCTCGGTGTTTGAATTGTCAACATGTGAAGTACGAGCATTAGAGACTGATGGTTTGCTTCAAAGGCTTGTTATTCCAGAGTGGAAGTCGGAGCGTAGACCTTGAGGAAATTTGATGCAGTATGGGTTATTGTGGACAGTCTGACCAAGTCTACCCACTTCATTCCAGTTGTGACTACCTACTCTTTAGAACAGCTGGCTCGGATTTACATTTGTGATACTGTTCGCCTTCATGGTGTGCCCATGTCTATTATCTTGGAGGACATGTTACATGCCTATGTTATTAATTTCAGAGGTTCATGGGATCAGTTTCTTCCATTAGTAGAGTTCGCCTACAACAACAACTATTAGTCGAGTATCTAAACGGCTCTTTATGATGCCTTGTATGGGGGGCGATATCGTTCTCTGGTTGATTAGTTTGAGCCCCGGGAGGCTGGGTTGCTGGGTAATGATTTGGTCCATGATGCTTTGGAGAAGGTAAAGTTGATCCAGGAACAACTTCGTACAACACGGTCTAGGCAGAAAAGTTATGCTGACAGGAAGGTTCGTGATGTTGCATATATGGTGCGTGAGAAGGTTCTACTTAGAGTTTCGCCCATGAATGGTGTGATGAGGTTCGGGAGGAAGGGCAAGTTGATACCTCGGTATAATGGCCCTTTTGAGGTCCTTGTGAGAGTTGGAGAGGTAGCCTATAGGCTTGCCTTGGCACCTAGTCTATCGAGAGTTCACCTAGTGTTTCATGTATCTATGCTCTGGAAGTATTATGTTGATCTGTCACATGCCTTGGACTTCATCACGGTACATTTAGATGGATATCTGACTTATGATGTGGAGCCGGTGGCTATTTTGATCGACAGGTTCGAAAGTTGAGGTCAACAAATATTGCATTTTGTGAAGGTTCATTGCAGAGGTCAGTTAGTCGAGGAGGCTACTTGGGAGACCGAACAGGAGATGTAGAGCAGATATCCTTACTTTTTTGAGACTTCAGGTATGATTCTAGACCCGTTGGGGGACAAATGTTTGTATAGAAGGGGGAGAATGTAACGACCCGACCGATCATTTTGAGTACTTTAGCCCAGTTTCCCCTATTTGATGCTTTACTTATGTGTATTTGAGGTTTTGTGACTTGCTGGGGTTCTTGGTTTGGTTTCGGGGAAGTCTCGGAGTATATTGGGACACTTAGTCCCAAGGTTCAAAGCTTAAGTTGAAAGTGTTGACCGAAGTTTAACTTTTGTGTAGACAACTCCAGAATGGTGTTTTGATGATTCCAATAGCTTAGTATGATGATTTTCGACTTAGGCGTATGTCCAAATTTGGATTTGGAGGTCTATTGGTTGGTTTGGTCCTTTTTGGCAAACGTTGGAAAGTTGGAGGTTGGGAAGGTTGGGAGGTTTGACCTAGAGTTGGCTTTGTCGATATCAAGTTTGAATTTTGGTTTCGGAAGTTGGTATAGGATCGTTTTTCTATTTTAGACTTGTGTACAAAATTTGAGATCATTCCGGGTTGGTTTGATGTGATTCAGCATGAGTTTCAGAAGTTGGAAGTTCATTAGTTTCATTAGCCTTGAATTGGGGTGCGATTCGTGGTTTTGGTGTTGTTTTAGGTTATTTGAGGCTTCGAGTAGGTTCGTATTGTGTTTTAGCACTTGTTGGTATGTTTGGATAGGGTCCCAAGGGCCTCGGGTGTGTTTTGGATTATTAGCGGATCATTTTTGACTTTGATGAATTGCTGAAGTTTTAGAGTTCTGATGCATTCGCACCTACGAGGGATTGGCCAAATGTGCAAGGTCGCAGAAGCGGCTTGTTGATCGCAGAAGAGGATTGAGGTTGGGCTAGGCTGGGTCCGCGGATGCATACGGGGAGCCGCAGATGCGGATGCGTAGGTGGATCCGCAGATGCAGATGCGTAGGTGCATGCAATGGTCCGCAAATGCAGAAGGTCGGAGGCTGGGAGGGACTCGCAGATGCGAGCTTGAGACCACTGTTGCTCCCAATACGCACACGCAAGTATACGTGGTCGTACAAATAATATAGGATTGTAAGTCCAGATATCGTACCCACATGGACTTGTGATTAACTATTTAATAAATTAAACGAAGATAATTAATCTATTCAACCAATTTTCTAAAGTATGAATATTTAACTTAAACTAATATAGAGTAGCAAACTAAGCGATTACGAAAAATAAGTCGGCAAGCTTAGAGACGAATTCAATGGGAGAAA